CTTTATTTTTATGTCCCTTTTCGCATCACTTATTCGATATATTCGTGGATTCCTATTTCAACGCGGCGCTGCACAAGACAGCTAGCTAATGCAAGAATTCCGAGTGGCCGGATTATCAATGCATTCACAGCCCTTTGAATTCTAACATGCCTGGTTACCTTTCACTAGGATGCACTGAAACGCCTACAAAGTGCAAGATCACTTTAAATAACGCAATTATTAAAAGAGCACAATCTCTGCCAATACCAAAATTGTTAGTATGGCTAGGTGGACGTATTCCCAGCCACATCTATGCACCTCTTTTTTCGTAGAGGAGGCAGTTATGCCATTATTGACCTTGGCAGCCAACGGAGGAAATAATTTGCTACTGAAGCCTTCGCGACCGCAGTATACAGCCAACTTTACAGGAGACCTGTGCTACTTCGGACCTGATTTTGATCTCGTATGGCTGAGGCGATTGAATCAAGTCAGATCTAATCGCCCTTTTGTATTCAGGGCTTAAGATCGAGAGGAGAGTTATGGGAGAGATCAATAGAGAGTACCGCTATCTACTTATGCTCCCTAATCCATGCTGATAAACAACTGCATGTACTTCTCAAGTCCCTTTAAATTATATTAAGTAATGCTAGTGATCTTGGTAAACCGCACTTAACGTTTTGGTCACCTGATATTTGTACCGAATCTCCTGATGGCAGTAGAATCATGCGCTTTGCCGACTGTTATTTGAACCGCAGACTTATTTGTACGTGGAAACTGGCTTATAATGGGTAGATTTCTTAGTTCGGATAAGACACAAATTGATGGACAATGGTAAAACGGTGAATAAAAAATAGACACTTGGGGGCATGTTTGTGTATTCACTGTTGCTTTCATTTACCTGACATTGCTTCTACTCACACATTGATTGCCACTTCATGCGTGGGAGGAGGACCAGAGGCGAGACGTTAAATTAGCAACCAAATAAACGTGAAATGGCAAATTTATTCTAATAATTGACACTCCTTCATTCCACTGTGAAACATGTGCTAATGCACAAGTAAATCATTGATAAAAGTAGATTTGAATGTCTTTTTAAGTTGTTTTTTGCAGATTTCTTGTAAACACTCATTAGCAGATGTTTGACTTACTGTGCACTTAGTTTGCGTTGCCGGCTAGGGGGAATTCCAATTATCCAACTGTGTTGAAAGGTGAACGAAATGGAGTAAATAAGTCTGCTTGCAAAAATCGTTTCATTTTTTCTTTCAAGTATAACTTCAACAGCCATTACTTGTCAAATCCCCTCGATCGGATTGTTAAGCTGCAGGCAACCCTGAATTTGGAATGAAATATCATTCAGCGGATGAATTCAGGCGATGCGTAGTTTCGTCAAGCCATTACCGAGTCATTCAAGCCGAATTGAAGTTGGTGAAATCAGTCATATCTCTTAAACTTCGGTGACAAGTGTTGGGGAGTAGCAGTACTGGACTACTATTGGCTTCTGTGGATGATTTTGGCTTCTTTTTCCTTTCTGTTGCTTCGTCCGACGAATTTTGCGTTGACTTGTTTCTTTTCGTGCGTCCAGTGCACTTTCGAGGTCTGTTGCACAGCGAACATTATCAATCTTTAATTAAAATGTTTAACCATAGTAGTATTATCCTGCGAAGTACGACCTTGCGTTTCGCCTTCGTGGGACGTGGTGCAATGTAGCTTGTTTTCTTCTTCATTCAAAATGCCCAATTTATTTTGAAGTCATGGAAAATGTTCAAATTGACGGAATATAAACACAAGCCTTATGCCTTACTGTGCTCTTAATTCGATGCCATAAATAGGAGCCAGTTGAGTGATTTCATATGCTTTAAAACTGCGCAATGCTACATACGACCATAACAAATGGGATAGCCGCTTTATTGACATTATTTTACGTTTCAACTAGCCATTCCAACGGGATTACTAAAAGATGGGTAACCAAATCGTGTAGCGACAGGAAGATTCTCAAGTCCTTTAGCAGAACATCGTTGAAGTTCATCCACCGCGCGTCCTCTGTTGGGCGGATTGGATTTATAGGGTCCATTTGTGTAGCACTCTTTTGCCTACAAATTAACTCACCCACTCTTGTCTTCGATTATGGGCACTTTCTACGTATGGGTCACTTTGGGTACACAGAACAAATCTAAAAGTTTAGAAGTCATCTGCAAGAGTTAAGCAACTGCATTCCTGTCTCGGTTCATTCCACTGATCTTGACTTTTCTCCTTTCATTGGTTTATCCAAGTTGCGCAACCTACTGCACAACAAAAGTTGGAGGTCGCGAATCGCCGCGGCGGAGGCGATCCGTTCGATGATTGCTCACCTGCCACCATGGTTGCCTACTGAAAAAGCAGTCGGTGTGGAAGAGGTGGATGTAAAGGTCGAGGAAGGGGAGGAGAAGGCGAAATCGACTACATCATCGTTCCTTTCCCTCGCTGGTCTTAATTTGGACCTGGTGCTAGAAAATGGCGCGCGACTGTACAGCGCGGATCTGCGCGAATTTGCCAAGGATAAACCAAGCCCTTCGAAACGTGCAAAGAGATGTAGTAGTTACACGGATGGGAAGGGTGAGTCGCCTTCATCTTTTTTGGATACATTTTCAGGGCATTTCTTTGCGGCCGGAAACGTGAGACAGAAACAAACGGTGATCTTTCTTGTGTAGAAATGCTCTCCATTATTGCTGTATTCATTGCCTTTAAAGTATCCAATAACCTGGATTTTTCGGGAATATGTGTCCGTTGTTCGCGAACAATTGTTATTCTTCATTGTGACGTTGCGAATGTGGTGGTAGTTGTGCGTAGTGTCAATCGTGGTCCATTTTATTTAAAAGTGTCAAATCCGTTTTCACTGCTTGTGCCTGTCCTGTGACATTCACGCAATGAAAGGGTCGTGTTAATGTGTTCTATTACTTCAAACTTGCAGTGGAATTAATTCAAAGGCCCCTGTCGTTGACAAGGTGGATGTTTGAGCGACTTAGAGTTCTCGAATGCATGGTTGGAGGAACGGAGTAGTAAAGTAGGTAACTAAGCTAGGACACTTTATTTGACTCATTTAGCAATGAATTGATTAGGGACATAAGACCGGATGGATTTGTTGAAGTGCGTCACCGTGACCACCTGAGGATGCGATAAAAGGATGCCAATTTGTGATTTTTAAGTACAATGTGCTTCTGGGTTTAGGTCAATAAGGTGAGAGGTGAACGGTCATGTGTAATTGTTGTTACGTTCGTTTTATTGTGCTGATGTAGGCCTCTTTCAATTATGAACTATTATTTGCACATATTGCGTCAGAACTGTTATTAAAACATTGCTAAACCAACTGTTTTGTGGTGATATCAAATCCTCTTCAAGTCCGTTGCTAATTGGGTGTTTTTGTAATTTTCTCACAGATTAGACAGTTGCCACACTAATCCATTTCTTGGTGTTTCCTTGTTTCAGCCGAAAAAGATACTCCCACACCGTCATCATTGACGAATGTTAGCGTCCTCCTGGACAGACAAGAGATGAATCGTCAGCTGGGTTTGGAAGGTCAGGCTGGCGCTTTCATTTGTAACCTCTTGGAATCCAATCCCAGCACTTCTATCTCCAGTCTTATTTCGGATGCAGATCTAGCAGATGGCGATGACACGACCAGCGGTGACAGCGAGGGAAATGACACTGCAGCCACATCCGCTAATGTCTTGGTAGGTCGATGAGAAGTCACACTGAGGTGCCATGAATCAAAGCAGTCGGCGCTATCATTTACTAAGGAATAGTGGTCATTGGTCAGACCATTCCTACTACCTTCTGGTAACTAGAGAAAATGAAACTGTGAAGAGTCTTCATTCACATATCTTTTGTGTCGTTCGAATGAAGGAATCTATTCATGTTAAAGTAACCTCAACAGTTCTTTGAAAGGATAATTGGTTTCGTTGGAGTACGATTGAATTACTTAAGTAGAAAATGACCGTAGTGTCCGAATTATCTGCAAAGAATGTTATTCTGTGTGTTGGCCTGAAAGTAGGTTTATATTCAACGCACTGAAGACACTCGAACCCGCTTCGAAGCCCTCTGCTGTTCCAGTATTCTTGTGCAAAATCCCTGTGGTGTCCTTTGGGGATGCCAAAGTAAATTGCTGCATCGCTCAAGTCAATCTGAGGGTGCTATGGGCTGTGCAGCTCTTAAGCGTAGCTTGAATGCAGACGCGCGATAGTAGGCAGAAAGAACTTATGAAGATGCACGTATATGTAAAGCTGGTATCTTTCTGGTGCATAGCCCCTCCACATTTTTTTACTAAAGCCCGCTTCTCGGAGCTCCCTATAGCCACTCTTCCATTTCTTTCGTCACAGATCGTCAAGTGAATAGTAATGAATCGTAAAATAGGCCCAAAGATGATCTGATGAAGTACCTACACGGTAGAAATATTTTCTGTTTCATTGGTAATGGTGCACTTTTTTGGGCGGAATTCCGCAATACCACTTCGTCGGTGAAGCGAGCTTGCCAACCCTCTCCACTAAACACATTCCGTAAGCTGAACTCTTCATCAGTCGCGCCATCACCACCACTATCACTGTGGAGGTCGAATTGGGAACGACTGAAAATAGCACGAAGCCGTGAAAAACTAACAGAAAGCGATACTATCTTGTATTGTGTGGTACTTTTCCTAAAGTCTGTTAAAGCTTGCGGCTTTCAGTAGCCTCCTCTTCGGTAACTTTATTTCCTGTATAAAGTGTCTGCCTCTTAGAGATGTTAAATGAGATATTTTCGTAGTGTTGACAAGCAAATGGAGGAGAAAGAAACTCGTGCAATTCTTTGGACGGTTGGCATCAGTGACTTCTTGTAACCCGTAAAGCGTATGCGACTGTTTGCATGCATACATTACTATAAGGCTGGAATAAAAGTGCGTAAGTATGCTGGTGGGCTACTCTTCCTTGTCTTTGGCGCCACTTTTCTCCCGTTTTCAACTCATCCTCATACCGTGAAATGTTGGTTAAACCTAATGTATGGGATTGGGGCTTGTCTGCCTCACGGCTCGGGTTGTAATTGAAGTTCAAGAGTTGTGGAAGTTTCTTACAACTGTTATATGCATAGCAAATGAAGGCGTGGTTTGTGGCAGTAGAATAATGTATCACTGCGGAAAAGTGTTTAGGTGTGGTTCTTATTATGGATTCTGAAAGACTGCTGCGTCATATTAAGAAGGTGTCTTTATTCTTAATGATTAATTATTTGCTGCTATTTGTTGAGGTAATTCGAGATTGCTGTGTGTAAAACAAATGTTTTTTCTGAAGAGGACCGAGATTAGTAGATCAGTTCTCTTCTTATTCTCAAAAGACAATGCAAGGCCTCATATCTTGTATGGCCCAGCCAAACGATGGGGAGATCTGCGCTTTAGAATGGGAAAGCGGGAGAAAGGCATTAGCCAACTTCATCTCCCGCATTCTGCGATATGTCCAAATGCCAAGCGATTATCACCTCACTTTGGTAGTACCAGGTAGTCACGTGATTTCATGAAAAGTATAAATGAGACGAAAGGAAGGTGGTCAGGGTTGGATTTTTCTTAAATTCTAGCGACAAAGTGTTTTGCAGAGGTGAAATTGGCAACAAGTTTATCTCTAGTGATAAAGTGTAGTGATGGTTACTTCAAGAAGTAAAGAGAGTAATCTGTTTGGATGCCTCAGTTCTATCATTTGAGCTACATCCTTGAAATGGTATACTTGGGTGGAGGGTAGTGTCGTTGGCACCTTCCAGAAGGGCTGAGACTGGTGATATGGGTGGAGTTCGGGACCATGGGAGACAAAAGGGTTTCTTTAGTAGTAAACAGTTGAGGGAAGCGCTTCTCTGCTGGACAAATCATGATAAATGCTGCCCTTTAATGTTATGCGGGTGTAAGACAAAGCATCGTTGATGACTTCTGCTACTCAGCATGCCCTTTTACACCTACCAGTTAGCACCCCGTGTGTCAACACGTTCTCTACTAGTGGCACGTATAAGTGGCAGCTAGGTTTTCTTACCAGAGTTCGCGCATCGCAGGTACACCTATCGGAAATATGGTTGATATTAAGGTAATAGAAATGGAATATAGCCTGAAGTTCTTGGTCTGAGGGGGATAATTACAACCTCTATGTAGCTTATGCGCCAATTGGTAAGTGGAACAACTCTTTCGTGGGCTGCAATGGTTGAGTTATCCTCTGTGATAAATCCTAATAGTGAAATCCTTAGCCTGTCAAGTGAAAGTGATACCGGAATCATTCCCGGTGTTTGATTTTTGTATAAGCTCTGTTCTCCCAACTTTGTTGATTGAAATGCCACTTATTCTACCTTCTTGGAAAGAACGTCAGCCTAGTTTTTTCTTTTCCATCACGTTTCCGACACGCCTTTTACCAGTTCTAGTTGCACAAATCTTAAAGTGAGAGAAACGCCTTTATTCATACCTCATGAAACACAATCCGTGGCCTTTCGCAATATCAAATCGTTTTTGAGAAATAGATGTCCATAGCGCTGGAGTCACTTCGGAAAGCGTGGTGCTGCCGCTCAATCCTCCTCTGAAATCGCAATAAAGTAAATCAACATAGAAGGATAGCTCGCTGTTAATGAACCGAAGGGCTGGGAGGCTGTGGTTGTAGCCTTCCAACTGTGCTGTGAGATGGAAGCAAAATTTGTGGAGACTAGAGAGCCTGCACAGCTAAGTATGCATCACAAGTCATACGGGTGTGAGGTGGCCTTATTTTTGACGCACCGAGGACTTTATACGACTAGGAGCTTAGGTGACCCAACCTTCATTCCATACTGGATGAGCCAGTTTCAGATGCATTTTTGTGTTCTTTGACTAGTGCCACTGAGACCGATTTACCTGTGGAAGGCACTAATGTGTCACGCGAGTCCGAAGGCAGCTTTACTGCCATTGTGTTCGGAAGGCCTGAGTATGAACAGTAGC